CGTTAGTAGTATTGATAAGGTGGTGTTCTTTCTGGGTTCGTACATGCACAGTATCGGTTGATTAACTGATGAGCACTTGCAACTGGTGGGATGGTTTACTTCTTGGTTCTCTCGCTTCCTTGAATGTGAATCGAGTCCCTTTGATTCCTTCTTTTATCTTATCAGTGAAGCTCTGTGCTTTAGTTCACACTCACTTGAAGTTATCCTCATCCCGACATTCATTGAGGGTTTTGGTGGTGAGGTCCGCATTTCTCCTGTTTGTGGTAACGTCCATGATCTTTCCTTGCTGATAATTAATAAGACTGCTGCTATTTATCATTATTACCTTCAGAAGGAGCAATCCAAACACAAATTAAAAATCACAAACAACATTCAAAAGTGCAGTGCTGTCAGCATACGTCTTAGTATCGTTATTACCCGCTAAGACGAGGAGAGCTTTGATAATTTTTGACATCTGTTCAATGACAACTATCACTGCCTCTCATCGGCATGATCATTTCGTTACACTCAAGGAGTTTAGTGTAATAATGGTGTAATCATCATCTACCTCAATATCCTTGAACAGAGCATTGCATTTTGAACTCACTTCCAAGGAATTATAAAGGCTTTGGGTTGTCACGAGTGCATTTCTAAGTGGATCTATCTCTCTCATAGTATCCTGCAGCACGAAATTGAGAAGATGACTGTAACAAGACACATTCCTCGCTGTGAGCATTCTTTCATTCGAGATGCTGCTCCTTTACGAACGCCACTCATATTAGATGCACTATCGAAACACTTGCCACAGTGTCTCCTGACTCCAGGTCAAGTCCACTGATAACCCTTTTCACGAGTTCATATAACACTTCACCCTCAGTTGATGCTGTCGAGAAGAATTCAATGAATACCTTTTTCGTTTTATCCTCTAAAACGTATCTTAGGCAGAATGCCACTTGCTCTGTTTGGCTGATATCCAAGTTTTCATCCGTGATTATTCCGAACTTTTCACTCACCAGCACATCATGGATGATCCACTCCACAACGAGATTGGATATAATTTATAGATCCCATTCTGGGTGGATGGCAATGTCCACTGAGCGTGTGCTTCAAGTTGACTTTGTAATTTCTCCTTGAGCCATGGGAGATCCTTGCACTTGAAGTGCTATAATTCTATTGATATCGAACATTTTATCGATGTTCTGTTCTCCTCATGTCCTCTTATTGCGATGTTTTGTTGTGCAGTAAAGATTAGGCACTCGGTGATTATATGTAAACATTTGCAAGGGCAGAGGACAGCTGTTTATGAGCCGCATCCAACTGATGCAACACAGAGGTTTGATGTTTTTCATTGATTTTTGAAGTGATTCATTTTGACATTGCCTTCTTGTAATTAATGCTTCTCAAATGCTTTTTAGTCTGACTCTTTTCCAATTTTCGAATGTGTATGAGCTATCCCCCATGAACGTCTTGCAGGGAAAGCACACACACTGACGTTTCTCCACGTCAAAGCTAATCCAGGGGCGTGTGTTATACAACTGCGGATTGAAATCCCTCTAAGAAGTTTCACTCCTGAACTTTGGATTATACTCCTTTAGAATTGGTTGCTTTGGTGGGGTGGTCTATGACTGGTTGGGGGCAGTCTTTCGTTGGCTCCTGTGCTACAGCTGAGGGAGATTAATACATTTCGTCATCATCATCATCATAGCTCGAATCAACGTCAAGGTGTTGCAATGAACGAAGAATTTACAATGTCATCTGCCTCATGCGAAATATCGGAAACAGTTTGATCTATGGTTGAGACTGATATGACAGCGGAGTCAATGTCAGTCTCAAACAAAACAAGCTGTGCTTCAGGGTAGTATTTTCCATAGCAAAGTCTGAATCATTCACACTGCGCTCAGCATTGGCTATTTCCTCTAATCCTGTTTCTTGATGAACCATTTTTCTTCTGATGGACTATTCTGTGTGCAAGGATTCATAGAAACACTGACTCTACTTCTGTTTGCTCGTTCCTTGGTAGGTTTCATATTTCGACGCTTTCCCGATGAAGAAGCCATTGTGATTGATTTGCACCCACCACTGCACTGAATTTGACTTTCTCGCCTTTGGGGATTTTTTTCACATGGTTGTCTGTCTAGTCCCAGTCAATTTTCTTCCCGCACTCTTCGTACATGGCACGCATGCAGTAATGTCGTTTAGGTGACTTTTTGGGATTGGACCACAACGACATTTTTACGATACCGTGGCTCCCAAGGATCTGAAATTAAAAAGCGCGGCTGTTAGTATCCTGGTATTGAATGCGTGCAAAATGAAATTCATTGGGACACATAGGCGATATGCATACTAATCATCAATATGTGTATCACTAAATATCACTAGATCAATTTCGCAAGTATTTTATGAATTTTGCTAAATTTTATCAATAATCAATTATATAATGATAATGACGAGCTTAAAGCAAATTTCTATGCAAAATATAAGACTCAATTGTTTTGAAAGAGGAATAAATGTTAAATTCACGATCGAATATTTCCACTAGTTGTACTAATAAGCTTAATTTTCCACTTAATCTGGTACAGAAGTATTTAGTATTCTTGATATCTGAAAATTATATTACTGTTTCCAATTTTGCCCGAATCTGAGGAAACAATTTGCCCGAACAACTCAGTCGGCCCGTTTTTTTTTGGGGGGGGACACCACCACCCCCCCGTACGTCTATGCTCCTAACATAGCCTCACCTTGGGATAATTATATAAATATTCTAAAAATGCCGTATCCTACTCATGATGTGTATGTATTTGAATAGAGGGGAAGGGATACCCTGAAGTTTTGCTTGAAAGCCTAAATTTTTGTGGTTACGCATCATGATTGATATATGCGGTAAAGGCTGTACTATGGTCTCATTATTGGCATGAAATCCTTCTACTACACCAACCCAAAACTAAACAAAGAAAGTGACTGGTTAGAAACTATATAAATCATCAAAGCAAACGATCTCTCACTAAACCATGATAATGGCCCTAGCAATGTCAGCCGCATTTGGCAAGGTCTATTCACCCTTCATACGATTGAACTGAATTTAAGGAAACTATTCTACTTCAATGTGAATAATATAGTCAATAAATTAAGAGTGCAATAGTACCGTGTAACCTTACTATGACAAGCCTTACGAATTAATGGGTTCATCAAATAATAACATAACATAATGTTTTGGGGCAACAAGGGGCCTACTGGTCCATCTAGGCTGTTCCATCCTCTAAACTAAACTAAAACTATTAAATAAATAAACCGAAAAGAAAATCTTAAAACCAGCCCTTATCGTTCGTATATTTATCAGGCTTTCTCTTAAATTCATTGAAATTTACTTCCTCCACAACATCAGAAGGCAATCCATTCCAAAGACAAACCCCACTGTTAGAAAAATAAAACTGACTTAGATGAACATGACTCCTACACTGCCAAAATTGACATTTGTGTGTCCCCTAGTTCTACTATTCTCGCAGTTAAGTATGAAAAAAGATGATGCATTAACACTATCAATTCCCTTTACATTCTTAAACACCTCAATCAGATCACTTCTAACTCTTATATTTTTCAAGAGAAAACAGTTTGAGAGATCTCAAGCTCTCCTCGTATGACAACCCCTCCATCCCAGGCACCATTCTAGTAACTCTCCTCTGAACCCTTTCCGACAATTCAATGCTTTTCCTAGGATAAGGAGCCCAAGAATGAACAAAATACTCCAAATCTGGCATAATCAGTGATCTATACAATGAAATTATAACCTCTTTAGACTTGTTAAGTTATATTCAATATTTCTGTAGATACAACCTAAAATCTTATTTGCCCTACCACTAGCAACAGCACACTGCTTGGATGGCTTAAGAGACTCATCAACCATTACATTAAGATTCCTTTCTTTATGACACCGTTAAGGTTATTTCCATCCGAATTATACTTATAATTCAAATTATGGTAAACCACATGTATTATCTTGCATTTATTATAATTAAAACCCATTTGCTATTTATTTGCCCAACTCATTAAATGATCTATATTCTTTTGTAAATCAGCAGCATCCTCTTCACAGCTAGCAACACCAAAGACTTTAATATTTGCAAATTTAAGTAATTTATTGTCCATTCCTTCATATGTGCCATTGATGTAAATCAAAAAGAGAAAAAGTCCCAAGATTGAGCCCTGAGGTACCCCACTTGTAACATTACTCCAGTTTTACTGAACTCCATTTACAACAACCCTCTGCTTTCTTCCATCCAGCCACTCTTCTATCCAATCATCTAACATATCCCTCATACCTACAGATATAAATTTTTTACAAGCCTTTTATGTAGCACCTTGTCAAATGCTTTCTAAAAATCCAGATATACCAAATCCACACCCTTACCCTTATCTACATAAGCAGTAACATTTTCAAGGAATGTTAAAACATTTGTAAAGCAAGATTTTCCCTTAGTGAAAACATGTTGGCTATCCAATGGCAGTATACGTTTTTGTTTATTAGCTGTGGCATAGCAGCTTATAAAATGGCTCTGAATTTTTTTCAAGGACAGACGTTTAACTCATAGCTTCATCTCTTGACCGATCTGAGATTTAATTACAGCCGCGGCTATTGAGGATTCCCTTTTGTTTTAAACAGTTTATCGCTGCAAAATTAATTTTTATATTACTGCCGATGTTCAAAAAGGTTTGACGATTATGGAAAAACATACGAAAACTTATGGTTTCAAAAATTAGTTATTATTAAAATATGTGATTATAAGAAAGCTTGAAAACTTATTAATATATGTAAAAATTATTGCAGTTATATAAGAACAGAATGAGTAGTGATTTTATATGAATACTACTAGGGAAACTTCCCAGAATACGTTTGAGGGATTGAGATATTAGTTGATTATATATTTACGAGATGGCAGCAATACTTAATCATATAGCATGACATGAACTTGACCATTTGGCCTTTATCTGATTTCTAATGTTGGCTTCGTTTTTTTTTTTTTTTTTTTTTGTTTATGTTGAAGTTTCAAGTACATGTTTATAGTGGAAGGATGTAGGCGTATAATGGAATATCATTTTCGATCGTTAGTAACCTAATTAATAACTGAAATAGGCAGATAGTATGATTAAATATTATATTTGTTACAAGTGCTCAGTGAAGAAATTTTACTTGAAACTGAAAGGGCAAATTAACGAACTATCTGAATGAACTACCCTGGATTTTTGCGTTACTCTCTGAATGTGATTGGGAAGACCACGTGGCCATTGATACGGGTTAATACCACTAATAGTGTTAACAGCATTGGAGTCAAATCATATATTATATTAGGTAATACACATTTTTTTACTCGATTGCTTATGCTTATAGTTTTGTTGATAGTTTTATTAATAGTTGTTTCTTGTTCTTTTCACAGCATTGAGGGCCAGGATGAATTAAATCAGTAAATGCAAAAAAAAAAAAAGAAAAGAAAAGCGCAATGTTGGCAGTTATGAATTTTGGTGACAGAATTGTTTTTTGAAGTACAAGGTTATATGTTGTTGAATATGGATAGGTATTAAAAGGAGGGGGGAAGTGGCTCTATGATTTAAAATGAAAAGTGTGAGTTACAACCATTTGAAATTGAGGATATTAAAGAAAATATCAAGACGGTAGAGCTATAGATGAGATTGAGACTGATGAAATGAGATGAAGATTACAATTTACAGCAATTAAGAAGGTTATAATTATGGGGGACTTTAATTTCTGGTATGTAAATTGGGAGATTTTAAAGTCAAACTGTAATAGGTTAGGGGGATAGAAACAGTGGGTCTTCTTCATCAGTTGCTCAGGGAACCTAGTACTAGCAGTGTAGTACTATGGAAGATGCTGTTTTACTTTTAAGTTTCTTGTTAACTTCTAATATGCATATGGTAGAGAGGGTGGAGATTGGTGAAAATATGTGTGTAATTGATAATTTATCGGGTATGATGTTGTACTGCACATCGATTAGGAATAATATTAAAAATGTTCGGTTATGAACTTCAAAACTAGTTTTGAAGGGATGTGACAAGAATATATTGTGAATTAGGCTACTGATTGAATGATGATTGTGATCAGATGTGGAAAATGTTTGAAAATAAATTTTTATATATTCAAGATGGACATGTTCCTGCAAATGAAAAATAAGGTTGGCTCAGTAAGTGTATAAAAGGGATAAAACTAAAAGAATGGCATTGCAAGATTAAGAAGTGGAAACTGACTGCTGATGTGTTCTGATGGGAGATTTGTAAGATTATAGAATATCAATAGAGTTAGTCAAACAGGACATTATGCAATCTAAAGTAAAAGGGAAATTTAAAAAGTGTTGGCTGAAAATGTAAAAATTAACAGTAACAATTTCTTTAAATACATTTAAGGGTAAACAAATGCTAGAATGGGAGTAGATCCTTTGAGGGATGATATCAGAAGGTTTATTTCTAATGATTTTGAGATGGTTGTATTATTAAATTATTTTTTCTTCTTAAGTTTTTACTAATTAATATGTAAGCAATATTTCACATCCTGAACAGTTGATAAAGGGAGACATACATAGCTGATGAACATATGATCACATTAATTTTGAACTTGTTATGAAACAAATGGGAAGCTTAAAGAATGACTGGGCTAGATAATATTTCCCCAAGGGCTTTGAAGGAGGTTAAGAATTGGGTATGTGGGTCTCATGCTAATGTTTTTTGTAAGTCCTTGAATAGTGGGCAAATTCCAGAGAATTAGAAGTTGGCTAAATGGCTAATCTTACTCCTCTTTTTAAAGGAGGTGATAAAAATTGCCCCTATAATTTTAGGCCTATTAATTGTAAATCAGCAGTGGGAGAAGTTTGTAAAAGTCTGATAAAAGAAATTATAAGAAGTCATTTAACAAACTAAAATTTTGTTGGATAGTCAACATGGTTTCACTAGGGGAAAGCCTTGCCATACTAATCTTTGGACAGTTTTGGAAGAGGTTACTGCTTATGTTGATGAAGGTAAAGGTGTGGATTTGGAGTATATGGATTTTCAGAAAGCATATGACAAGGTGAGGTGACAAATAAAGGGCTTGTTAAAAAACTTCTCTCACTAGGCGTGTGGGGTAGGTTGGCTCATTGGATAGAAAACTGGATGGATGGAAGGAAGAAAGAAAAGGGTTGTTATAAATGGAGTTCAGTCAAACTGGATTAACGTCATGAGCAGTGTTCCCTCTAAGCTTCATGGCCGCACAACAACCAAGTGACGCGCATTTCATTATTCCAGCCACATATATATCCTCAGTAATGGTGAAGAGTCTCAACATGTTGATGGTCTTAATGACACTGGCAATCAATAGACCTAAAGCCCAAATATCCAAGTGGTAGCATTGCAAAGTGGCCTAATGATCCAATAAGGTCAGTGGTCTAAAAGTACTCCTCCCCCAAAAAAAAAAAAAAAAAACTGGTAGTGCACATCTGCACATTGCTTTGATACTGGTGCACATGAAAAAATTCATTTCGCACATGGATTGAAAAAATTAGAGGGAACATTGGTCATGAGTGGTGTACCCCAAGACTCAGTATTCAGACTAGAGCTGGATAATTAACTTGATTAATTGATTAGGTATGACCATCGATTACATCAATTAATGTCTAAAAAATAATCAAGTAATGGAAATCAGTGTTGCTGATTATTACTGTTTTCAGTTATGCCAACTATCCTAGTTAATAAAATGTTGCCACTATGTTTTCTCATTATTATTTTCAGTGCATTCTAGGTTGTTCAACAACAAGCGTAATTGATTACTGTCATAACTGACAAGAATAATCAAATAATTGAAGTCAGTGTTTCTAATTAGGATTATTGTTTTTGATTATTCTAACTATTCAAGTCTCATGAGAATAACTGATTAGTTGAATGTACTTCGTTAATGAAATCAATGATTAATAGATTATCAAGTTTCGCTAATCACCCAGCTCCAGTCAGCATTTTTGCTCTTTCTGATTTACATCAAAGATATAATTTAAAAAAAGGTCTTGGATATTGCTGGTTATTACAAGTATAATGATGCTTTGTAAAAGGAATTAGATCATTTGGTGAGTTAGGCAAATAACTAGCATTTAAATAAATACAAAGTAATGCATGTGATTTATTTTTAGAGCTGGGCAATTAGCATTTATTTTCTAATCAATTAATTAATGAGCTCATTAACTCATTAGTTCGTACTCTTTCCCCCAATAAAAGAAAACAACAACAGAGTGGGGTGAGCTAGCTTTATAACTTTGTGAACCACTACATTATCTTAATATGGACATTTCCTTCTTGGTGAAAGAATTGCAAATGAATACATTGCTAATGTCAAGTGGAGATGACCACATGGTTACCATTTTATTTGTTTTTGAAATAAGCAGTAATCCTTCATTCATCTTGTGTAAATTAAATAAATTTATAATAAAATAATGAAAACATGTTTTACTCTGATAAGGGTAATCATGTTTTTATTTAAAACGTATCATGATTGCAATTACAAGTGGTTAAGTAGTCAGTTAGACAATCTGTGTACATTGTATGAATAGGATAAACAAAAATAATATTTAATACAAATTTGAGTCCTAGGATAAGGAGCCCAAGATTGAACAAAATACTCCATATATGGCATAATCAGTGATCTATACAATGACATTATAACCTCTTTACACTTATATTCATGTATACTTGTATCAAATTATCAAGCACTTTACAATGACTATCTATCACTATGTTCCATGCTAAGGCTTGCTACATATGTGGACAACTTATGCACTATATGTTGACAACACGCTGATTCTGAATTACTTGACAATTTTTCATCAAACTACTTATTCAAGGAGCTTCCTCTGGTATTATTTTTTTGGATGAGGAGAATTGCTCTTGTTGCTTGCAAGGCGTTTCCACAGGATGTTTTGCCTGATTGGACAGCAATTGACATGCTCTGGTGTGCCCCAAGAGTCTACTCTTCGCACATATTTATTTGGGCCTGTTATCAATTATACACCAGACATTCTGTTTTTGTCCACTATGTGCTGTTTCACGTCATAGTTATACGGCACTTCTCCAAAGAATGGTGCTGTATATCTCGTTCTTGAGGCTATGGTGTCTGCCTATTACATTCTGCCCTATATGTATTACTGTGTTCGTTACTGGGCGAAGAGTATACCTGTTCTAGAAGTAGTGCTATACCACACAGGTGTGCCATCTTATCTTATTATGGCACACCTGTTCTTGCAGTGTGGGATTCTTCGCTTTGAGTCAGATGAGGTAGTAGTGTATTGGAAGTTAACATTTTCTTACAATGAAAATGTATTTCTGATAGGTACTACCTTTTCTCACCCATTTGGTGGAGGGTAGTCACATGATCAGCACATGTTCTGAAATGGTGTAAAAATGAAGGGGTATAAAGATAGCTTTGGGTGGGTGAGTGGAGGAGGTAAGTATCTATTGGAAATACATTTTCAGTGTAAGAAAATGTTAACTTTTTAGAGCTGTACACTCTTGTAAATCCAGCACTCATTCTCACCCTCCCACAAAATTAACTTTTCCCATAATATTTCATTTCCTGTCTTGCTTCCTTACTTCCTGCCCCTAATCTGCTATTTTCCCAGAACTAGGATTATCCTAGTGTTTAGCTTTATTTTATGTACTGATCAGAAACAGTAAAACTATTTAATTGTCCCAGTATCTCTATACCTCACTGTGGGTTTGATATGTATAGTTTGCCATTATAGATGCTCCTTTAAATTTTACTTGGAGAATCACCTGACAAAGACAGGTCCCACAGTACAGTCCCTCTCTACTATGTTTTCTTAACCCAACCTGTCATTGGGCAGCCACAGGAATTGAGATTAGACAACCTTTCCAGTTGAGAAAAAGAAAAAGTAACAGTTTTCATTTGGTAGGTTCAAGACAACTTAGGCACACTTTTTTATTGGATTTTTTTCTTTAACTAGGTAAATTTCTACCAAATTTCTTCTGTTGTTTGGGAACGAAATGCCATAAACCTCATAGTATTCAGCAAATGGTAAAAAGTGTGTTTTTGTAATTTAAACTGTTTCAGATTTGTTACAGTGTCCCTCCATATGAAAAAAAAAATGCCCCAGTTTTTCACTCTGGAAACTGGTAACTCTGATGAAGCGGCAACCTTGATCATCTTAATTATATTTATTCATGTTTAAGAATCACATTATTTGCTTTTTTTTTCAAGATGTAAATTTATAGTAACAGCTTTCTCAGCTATGAATATATGTGTATTATAAAATGCATGAAACCATGTAATGCAACAGAAGGCTGAAAAAAGAAAGAAATTAATTTTATTTGTTATATGTTGCAATTAAGGGTGAGTTCAGGAATCTGTCATGTTGTTTTATGCAAGGCAATATGCATAATGTTGCTGTCTGATATGACTGGAGTTTATTTAGCTCAGCATGTGAAACATAGCCATTAAAATTTATCCTTTACAAGTGGCAATGGTTTTGAATTATTTGAAATAGTAGTGTAGAACAAATTTGTTCAAACCTGTTGCAACATATAAAGGACATTCAAGAAAACATTTTCTTTTTTGGGTGGAGGTTATGTTGTCATCGTTTTGCATATTGAAATATATATAACACCTAAAGTTTTCTGATCATGCTAAATGATAATTTTCGTTGACTCAGGAGGCTATGGAATTGGTTTAGCTTGGCAATGACATTTATCTTTTCCAGCGATTGTCTTTCTGCTTTAATTTAAAAATTCAAGACTTGTGTTTTTGGTTAAATGTCACTGTTGCTTGTGTATAGGGCAATATCACTTTAAATTAATGTAACTGTAAAATCACAATTTATTGTTTTGTTCATGAAAGAGCCAACAGAATGTGCCATTTTTCAGCATTAAATCAAGAAATTCAGAATGTAATGTCCATTTTGAAGAATTGACAATATCCGATTCACTTCATTGAAAATGCTCACCTAAAAACCAAACAAACCATTTTTTAAAAATAATGAACAAATGAGAATAAGTAGAAACTACTCTTCTTGAATTACAGCACAAACTTTGAACATGTAGAGAGAATCCTAAAGCAAAATAATTTTCTTGTCACTTACAAGTATCCAAATAGTAGTAAAAAAAAACTATTAAATAAGATAAAATACTGGCTGTCTGTATTGTTCCATGCCTATCATGTGAAATATCTTATGTTGGTGAAACAGGAAGAAATTTAGTCACAAGGATAACAGAACACAAAGGGGACATTAGAAGTGGAATTAGAAATAAAGCAATATTTTCCCATCCAAGAGACTTTGATCACCCTATAAACTGGAAATCAGCCAAAATGATATACAAGACCAAAGATGAAATAGAACAAGGAATTATTAAAAGTGTATCAAACTTTATCACCAGTGAAAGTCATGTCAAGCTGAATTATTTCACAACGAAGTATCACCTAAACTTTGTGGACAAATTTCTTTTTGGATGACAATGTAGGAGCGACTAGGATAAATAAGTGTTGAAACTAGTTTTCTATCCTTTATGCTGATATTGTGCTCCAAGAGTGTACTTTAATTTTTATATTAGGTTATCTTTTCACTGTATAGGTTACTGGTTAAGCCCTGTTTGGAGAATTATGTTCATTCATGAGTTCCTTACTTTATTAAGACATTAAATTGTTTGAAAGGGTACAAAGGAAAGGCTACTATGATGATACCTAGAATGGAAAGGCTGTCATATGAGGATAAGTTAAGATCTCTAATATTGTTTACTTTTGAAAAAAAGAAGAGTTAGAGGGGATCTGATTGAGGTGTTCAAGATTAATTTGGTTTATCAACTTTTTTGTGTGTGTTTAATGGTGAGAATGGTAGGAAAAGGAGTTACAAGTATATATTTTGGTAGGGTAGGAATCAGCTTAGAAAGTTTTACTTTTTTAACAGGGTAACTTGTGTTTGGAATGGGTTGATTTTTAGAAGTGGTGGATGTAGTAAACATGAGGGAAGGCTTAATAAATATTTAAAGATCAAACTGCACTTGTTTGGTTTTCTTTTTTAAGTAGGTGTGAAAGGGTTGATGGGTCAACAGGCACCTTGTTGCTGTTAAATGTTGTGTTGTATGTTATTATTAAATTTTTTCTACAATACTGAAAGTGTTAGACATGAGATTATATTAGGGGTGTTCAGAAAGTGACGTATATTCATTTACTGGTTAATATTGAAATGCATAAATTATATATAAAACACTTTACAGATATAAATTAAAAGTTTTGTGAAAGATTTGTATTAAAAGTTGTGCATTTCAGGTGGAGTACATTGGTTATCTTCTTTTCACCCACTTGTAATATGTGGTCCATCGGGTTGTGGCAAAAGCACCTTGCTAAAAATCTTGATGAAGGAGTACAAAAATTACTTTGGTTTCACTGTTTCTCGTAGGTATACTTGAAATATTTTCTTTATAATGTAGATTTCTACAGTATAAGCTTTTAATGAACATTTTTATGTTTAATACAATAACTACCTTTTTTATGCATATTCACGTAAACTTTTACAAGAGTGGATTTTATTGAGAAATGAAAAGAAAAATGTGTTGAGTGCAATAGTAGGAATGAACAGGGAAATAACCCTCTTCAATGATTCTGTTTTAATTTAGTGAATGGTTTAAGACTGTAAGTTTAAATCTCATACTTAATTAATAACTGCAATATTCAGTTAGAAATGGGTGTTTTTATCAGTTAATGGATTACCTTTCAGCAGCAATTGCATCCATTAATGTCACATACATTAATTGATTAATCAAAATTACAATTACATTTATTAATACTGTTTTTTATTATTCTAAAAGTTTATTAAACAAAATTCTGATTATATTGATTGTCAAAAAATATTCAATCACCCAAAATAAGTGTTTCTGATTATCACTGTTTTCAATTATTGCAACAGTCGATCAATTGAAGTTACAATTAAATTGATTATCATGATAATCAATTAATCAAAATTAGGGTTTCCAATTTTTTTACTATTTTTGGTTATTTTTACTATCCAAGTAGTCAAAAATATTATCACCAAACTTGCTTGTCCTATTGTGGCAACATTTCTAAGGCTATTTGCCAATGCCACTTATTTCGAACTGCTCACTAGAAGGAAAGCAACTTTTGACAGATCTACCATCAGTTTTTTTGCTTGAATGTACCATTGTTTGAGCATTACCATACTAATCGATTAATGGGACTGTCAAATAATTGATTAGCGAATGCCACTAATTGCACTGCTCTGTCACAACAAATATGAGTTTTTTGTCATGTTTAGAATAATAATTCTTATAATTATTATTTGAAACAAAAAGTTTTGCTTAGTAAGATTTGTTCTTCTCAGATACAACAAGAAAACCAAGGCCCGGGGAAGTTGATGGCAAAGGTATAGAAAACACATTGTGTACAGTTTTTATGGTTATTTTGGATATGTCATAATATTTTGAAATAATTGAAACTATTTAACTGTACTAGTAACAATTGTATTGTTAGGATTAACAATGCTTTTGGATATTTTATATTGACATGTTAAAGAAAAACTTCTAAAATTTGTGTAATTGTCAAAATATTGTAAAACTCTTCACAATGTTATATTGAATTTTATGCAAAGCTACTCATGGGCTATCTCCTTTGTAAGAAATTCTTCAAATAGATTGTCTTTTTCATGATGTAGTGAAAATCAATAGGCATTATAAAGCTGGAACTACATACAGAAGAAACTAAAGTGTGTAGATAGTATATCAGTAATTATCCAAACATAAAAGTATAATGTTAAACATTAAACACTGTTGTATAGTTTTAATAGTGGTTTTACCGTATGTCTGCACTAAAAGTATGACAACTATTTTTTGATCTTAATAATAATTACCCTTCTAAAGTTATTTATCATGGCATAATTGTTTCAATTTTTTTTGAAGCTTAAGTCCTCACATTAAAAATAAACAACCATTATAATGTGTCTTTATCTGTTTAATTAATATGAAGTCCAGTTATGTAAGCACATATGAATATTTTATTCTTCTAACATAATTTTATAAACCTGATTTAAGGTCAGTCATTGGAATTATCCTAATTACTTATTACAAATTTATAACCATCATAAAAGCTAGCAACTGCTTTTAAGTGTTCTTAACTATTCAGGCTTTCAAGTAAAAAGAGATGCGCTTGCATGTTTGTATGTCAACTATGTTTCAAAAATTACACCACCAAATAGCAGTAGTCCAACTTCTACTGAATTTTCATGTTACTTCTATTATGCACTGCTTTATATAGTTTATAACAGTCAGCACATGCTACAGATAATGAGTTGGAGTCTTAAATTCCATAAGTAAATTACTTCATATTTTTTAAAGGAAAGTGGTTGAGACCAAGCATTGGTGTGAATGATCAAGACATTTCAGTCTGCCTACCCATACATGGATCCATTTTCATTAAGATGGTGAATAAAATGGAAGCACAGTGAATGTGATAATGTGAAATATCAGCCTAGCTTTCCAAAATTAATCATATCTCAGTTTATGCAAACTTTGAGATGTGTTGTGAAACAAAATGACACATATTAAGTCTACTATCCAGGGCTTTACTAAGAGTTCAGGACTAAACCAACATGACACCTGTGCACTAGAAGCTTGAAGCTGTTGATGTCATAGCCAGATTGCATATTATAAGGTGTTCATCACAGCTATGATTATGAGGCACCAGCTCTTACGTTACTTTGAGTATTGTAATAAGATTAAAGAGCAATAGACAAATATTATATGGAATGATGAATCCAGCTAGTCATTATTTGATTAGAATGGATGAGTTTGGGTTTGACTACAATATGAAAAGTTATTTGGATACATCTATATTTTTTGAAAGGGGAAGGCAGCGTGGCTCAGTGGTTTCACATTTCGAACTCATAATTGGATGGTTGCTCATTTAAGGCCGACTTCCATCGTGCTGTTGTATCCTTTGATAAGACACTTTACTCGAGTTCTGTCACTTTATCCAGCTGTCTGGTGGTTACCAGCTATTGGTAGGTGTTAATGTGTGATGGACTGGCATCCACATTCTCATGCACTTGTGCTAATTAAGTCAGAGTTCAACACTTAATCCTTTGTGTCATCTTGGCATGGGAAGTATTTGACCTGTTGGGTAATGAAAGACAACCTACAGAGATTCCTGGGAAAGATCATACCACTTTAAGTATCCTAATGCATCATGTTATACATATGCATTTCCATCAGTTCTGTAATACAAATAATTACAGAATGAAGTTTTGCCAAATCAGAGCTCCAGCTTGAATTCAGTTAAACCACTATGAGAAGTTTAGGAATAATGCTTAAAAAACAGAAAAGATGGACCCAGAAAATTTATTAAACTCACAGCTACTTTGCAGGAAGAGTAGCAGTCTATTCTACTAGAATTGTACTAGTGATCAGTAGTAATTGTTAATAATAGTGTCTAGCTTGTGACTAAGTTTAAGATGGTTCCATCTCATACTAACCCTCTCGCTACAAGTAGATGAAAGTGTGCATGTCATGACCATTTAGAGATTTACATTCAAAATTTAATTAAGTTACTTTATTATCAATGTATGCAATAAGGTTGTCATCAAAACTTATCTAATAAGTCAAAGTTTAATAATATACATGTTTTAAATTCTTAAATTTATAAGGAAATATTAAAAAATCTTCAATTTTCCCTAGTATGAGAATTGTGACATTTGTTCTATAGGGCTTCTCTCTTCTCTTTCATTTGTGTACCATCCCTTTAGTAAAATTACATATTGTAATGTAGATAGTACTAAGGCAAAGTAATTTTTATAGCCTTCAATCGTATTTGTTTATGAAGTCATAAATTACAAAATTGGATCCACTTGCTTATCACATCCTTTTATTCCCAAATTACCAATAGTTCTCTCTGACATTCTATGCTATATTATTAATAACCAATAGAAAGGCAAAGTTTTAATCTATCAATTGACATATTATATTACATTACTTTCACTACAGAGTATTGTCTATTTTGTCTTCACTTTCTCACGGTGTGCAGGACGAAAAGCTTTGGGAATTATTTTATGGCCCTTGGGCAATAGCTAGAATGCTAGTTAATTCAGATACGACACATACCTCCTCTCACACAATTGCATTTTCAATCTTCCACTGCCCCCTAATGTGTTGAAAAGAAATTTTTTTACTTGATGCACTAGCCTTTATACCGTACAATTTTAGCTACTCATTTAGCATCCACAGAGCATGTTACAACCCTCCTCCAATAGTAGCACAACACACCCTCCTAGATCAGTTGGCTCTCTCTCTCTCTACTATTTTACATGATCTTCATTTTCTAGAATGACACAATACAAGTTAGATGTGTTTCTTGCTTGCTTTCAGTTTTCAATGTTTTTTTTTGCATTATTTTGGATTTTGTCCACATTTCTTTTTTTAAATATGATAGCATTTTGGTGTTTTACTGACTTTAATTACCAATTTCACACAATTTTTAGTGAATTATAAATTCTTGATTTACCATGATTACCACCATGGCTCATGAAGTTACTGGTTACACACAAACTCCTGTTACCCAGGCCTCATGATTGATGTTGCCTGCCAAAGTACTTGGTTCATTGGGAGTTACCAGTGATGAATGCTAAAGCATGTTGGTCAGAAACTTGAGGGAACTGAGACATACTAACCCCCAAACTAATTGTGACAAAAAACTGCTGTGCATGAACCTTAATGTCAGGTGAAAGGGGAAACACCAAATAATCCAAGTTTGGAATCTCACACAAAAGGGAAGGAAAGGCATCATAGGAAATAGGAGAAAAATTCAAAATGTGACAAACCTGTGTAATTAACTGAGGGAAAGGAGTAGTAGGGTGAACCTCCTCCAAAGGTGCAGAACATGGATGTAGGGCAAAGGAAGGAGCAGAAAGGCTGTCTAAATCATCCTCGTTCTGTACATTCTCATCAGCTTGAAGAGGTGCTAGCCATTGTGGAGGAGGTCCAAACCCCACATAAGAACTTAAATTCCTAGTTTGGATTCCTGACAGTCAGACGTGCTGTACCTCTCCTCTTTGCACCTTTTGTCCTTCTCCCAGTAATTGTTTTGGAGAACTTTAGATCCCTTCTGTGGTTGACTTTGGCGAGGCTCTCTTTCTCAGCTCTTTCCTTACCTGACTGCAATGTTGTTGGGGAGAGATGTGCTGCTTGCAGGGGTTTGTCTTCCTTCAAGCACTTAAGGATGGCTCCGTTTTTGCTTGACACCATTTTGGGGCGGGTGGGTGTTCTAATTCTTTGAAGTCCCATGTTGACATGGCCAGGTTGCATGCTTCCCTTGCTAATAGTTTATCACAACTTTCCTCCTCCACAGCTCTTGATCCTATTCTTGTTTCCCATCCTCCTCTTTCCATGCATCGTCCTTTACCTGCATCTCGACATTGTTGTCCTTATCCTCATTTTTTCCATACCTGTCAAAAAATGTTCATATACCTGTAACTGATACTATCATAAGTATAAGATATTAAATATTGTTGTTACGTCATCTTATTGCAAAAGTTATTTGTGAAGTTGTATGGTTATAAAATTTAAGTTGTACTGTATTTTAAATCTTCTTTGGGCAACATTATGTTTATGTGATTTTCTTAGAGTTTTTATTACTGAGTAGTTATTCCATTTTATAAATTGATTATTCCATGTAGTTGATAGTGAAATCTATATAAATATAATAGTACTGTCTGTTGTCTGTCCATGTAACTACCTTGCAGGGTGTGGAAGGATCTTCACCAGGTTTGGTTTGGAGATTCATTGGGTCCATGGGGAGATACAAATTTTCAATTTTGCATTTTGAGGTTTTTATTTTTTTCAGTTTTTTACCACTACTTCACCACCTGTTGATGGATCTTCACCAAATTTGGTGGGGAAGTTCATTGGATCCATGTGGAGATACATACAAATTTTCAGTTTTGCATTTTGTGGTTTTATGGGCATTTTTTATCACTAATTAGCCTTCTGTAGATAGATCTTCACCAAATTTGGCATGAAGGTTTGTTGGGTCCATACGGAGATACCTGCAAAGTTGTGGTTTCACATTTTGTGTTTTGCAGTTTTCATGGGCATTTTTGTGTTTTGTACAATTATATATAAAGGAAGCAACTTTTCATGTATTAAGATAACCTTTCATTAATCATGAATTTACATAACTTTTGTTCAGGGGGATGGGTATTCCAGCTAGTTTCAAATATTTTGATACTACAAACTAAAATTGTTCAATTGAATTCCAGAAATTCTTCATCAAATCCAGCATTTATGTATTATTGATAATAATCAAGTAAAAAATATTTTTAAAAATTGTTTTGTTTATAGATTACCATTTTGTGACAAGACATGAGATGCAGCAAGCTATAGAAAAAGGAGAGTTTATTGAGCATGTCGAATACTCAAAGAATCTCTATGGTACAAGGTGAGATCTATGATTTTACAAAGTGATTAAAAATAATATGAAAAGCTAAAAGTAAACTGTTTGTTGGGTTAAAAAAAACTTCTGGATACCAATTAGACTTTAGTGTGATAGTAGCTAACAATATCACTTTCCATACAGTGGAGTGAAAGTACTCATATTGTGATATCTTACTGAGTTATGTTCAAAAGTTAATTAACTTTAATTTCAATGTTGTCGATAAACTTGGCAGCAAAGTAGTTTATTATTCACATTTCTATATTATCTAAGTTTGAATTTCGTAATTTCAGAATGAAATAAGTAAATTATCAATCTTCACTTTTCTGTTTTCACATGATGCAATTTGTACACTGAATTTTATTTTATATAATTTCTTTCTTCCATATTATGTGTTTCTGAGAGTCCAAATAATTTAAAACACAGAATATAGATAACAGTGGGCCAGAATATAAATTTTGAACCTCCTACCTTCTGAACTTGCTGATATAATAATAAATTTGTCATACCCATTAGAGAGGCTCCTTCCATCTTATCAAAGCTTTGAATGAATTTATGTATGCCACAACTTGATCAAATAACCAATAGAATGAGCATTTTTTCTTTACAAGAATCTTTTTACAGCTGTTTCTTTTTCCTTGGGCATCTGTTGACACTTGCCTGTGATGGTTGTTGTTCAATTCCAAGCTGATAACAAAAGTTTTTTAACATATTTATAGCTTAACTAGAAAGCCAGTTAAATTATACTAGTTTTGGGACATTGTATTCTAGTACCTGATATATTTTTTGGTGTTTTAAAATGCATATTTCAAAGCAACATGAATTATTTTTTGAATGACAAACAAAGTGCGAAATATACATGGTAACTGAAGCATGTCATCTAAGTTTAAATGGGCATTACCACCTAAGTAAGTGCTAAATTTCTTTTTTTTTTTAATTTATTGTTATATTTTATTCAACAGAATTAACTAAAATGTTTATATTAAAAACTTCTTGGGTAACAAAAATAAAATAACTTAAAATTTTATAAGCTTAGTTCTCAAGGTTAAACTTTGTAACTTGATTGGTTTGTTTACTTTATCTATAGGGGGGGATATGATATGAGTTCCTTTATGATTTATTGTTTTCACAATGTAACAAACAACTTCTCTGGAACAAAGTTCAGCTATAAAACAATAAAATTAAGAAAACACAGATGTGAAAAGGTTGACAATTGAAATTGTGAAGATACTTAAATTGAATATTTGGTGACAAATGATGCATTTAAAGAAGTTAAAGTTTTAGTAAGTTTATTTCATATTTTTCAACTTCTCTGTGTAGATTTATGATTTTGCTACAGTAATGTTAGAGTAGGGAAAATAGGAAATAAAGTATAAATTTTTACTGAAAAAAAACTTCTGATATTCATTTACGATGTTTTATAGGTTATGAAAATGAAATATCAAACCTTAAAATGAAAAGAAGTATTTTTATTCTTAGCATGAAAATCACCTTTTAATTCACAGACAAATATTTAGCAGAAATACTTTATTACAGAACCTGATTTTTTGTATACAGTAGTCTTATAATGATTATTAAAAGCTTGAAGAATTTCTTGAAGATAAACGTAGTAAATTCTGAGCTATGTACTAGGAGTAGTTTCACTTCTAAGGAGGGTCAAACTGACCCACTTCATATAGAAAGAGATAATGTCACAAGCTAATATAATTCGAGAACAAATCGTATGTTGAATTTGTGTGCATACATTTTATCTGGCATACGTATACTTCATATTGTGTGTACGTTTTAAACGAGTCTTGAGTTAATCCTGATGACGCATTCAGCCTAGAAAATAAGAAGCTACATATGAATTATTTGTTCTACTTTGCAAGCAAAAAGAAAGGAAAAACCACATGAATTACATATTATATATTCATTTAAAGTATTTGTTTTTACTATTGCATAAGACAATTTATTTGGTAGTTGTTTAATTGTTTTATGTAGTTTTAAATAAATTATATAAATTAGTTGCCAAATACAGACATTAGACTTGTTACTTTAAAAATGTAAAGTTTTTTTCTGTACCACCATTATTATTTAGATTTTTTGTGTCACCTTTATTTATAATAACTTTTAGATTACTTATTTACATAACATTAAACAAACTGTATATAATATTGTAGTTTACATCAAAATATTTAACAAATGTTATTAGATTTTAGTAATCAAAATTTATGCTCCTTCCAGTAAAAATGCTATAAAAGCTGTTCAAGAAAAAGGACTTGTTTGCATTTTGGACATAGAAGTAGAAGGTGTAAAGAACATCAAGAAAACAGACCTAAACCCAAGATATATTTTCATCAAGCCACCTAGCATGGAGGCTTTGGTAGGTGTTAGAGAAGTCACATATAGTTATTATTGTGTTAGGCTTAACATCATTTGTTAGTAATAAAATATTGAGAGTACTCATCTTGATCATCATAAGTGAAGTCTGTTAAAACATTCTTAGTATTTTTATCTGCATAATTTTAACTAAAAGTGCAATGTTATCTATTGATAGATATATACACATAATTAAGTCACTCTTTTCTCATGGTATTTGCTTGAATGACAATCTTGTTACATTAAAAAAATTTTTGAGGTCTTATGAAATGAGATGTTATCAATAAGGAGAGTGTTGAGTGGATAAAGTTAAAAGGTTTGGGATGAAAACCCAAGTTGTGTTTTATAGAAACGAAAGTCAGTAATCTATTAAAACTTGCCAGTTATTCCAGCTTCTATTTTTTTTTCAGGTCAATCTCATATTACAGGTTTGTTTACTGATCTGTTTACTGATACATATTTTGGTTTTTATACATTTTCTCTTTGGGTGTTAGGGACTCGTTCTTTATTTTTATCCCATTTATTCTGTGTGCTACTAGGTTTCAGTTCTTGTTCTTTGCTGTACTTTTGGGTTATTTTTGCTGAATTTCAAGTATATGTACTCTTACTAATCCTAGTTTCTTTGTAGTTGCTTTTCCTTCACTTTGTTCCTGGGCTTATAATTCCTTTTTAAGGACTTAAGAGAGCTCAACCAAACCTTTTGTTGACTGTGACCATAAGGAAAGGGGAATCACAGTATTGATACTTCAGCATATTTAAGTAGAGAATCAGTCGTGAGTTCTCATTGGGTTCCAATAGATACCTCATATCTATATATTGAGTTCTGGTTTTGCAGGCTGTCAAAGATTATGAACAACCTTCAAAATTTTGTGACCATTGTATTTCCTATCTTACTGATTCAAATTACACAGCAAAGGAGCTCATGGCTTTTCATATTTAATATTCACTAATGTTGTACTGGGGTTCCTGATTCCTGTGTTACTGAAAGATCTTTCTTACTGGTTTTTTTACCCATGGTGGCACATTTCTTAACTCTTGTTGTTTTCATTGACTGAATGCCTTTCAACTCTGGGTGTATCTTGCCAGTTTATCTAACATATCTGTGAAATTCCTTGTGTTACTTCTACGTATCATATAGGTGGAGAATTCCCCAAGGATTTTCAGGGATGGGAATCCTTCTTCATCCATTAACGAGAGGTTAGGAACTGGGGTTTTGGAGTGATTTACAGGAGATAGGAGTAATGGAGACTATGATCAGGTCATATTTGGGAAGATTAAAAAAGAAAAAGGAGAAGAAAAGGAGGATGAAAAGTAGTCATGCTTGTAGTATGATAAAATAAATCAATCCTGACAGAGAACCTTTTGCAAGGCTCAGTAGGAGGAACTTCTGTTGATTAAGTACTTTTTGATGATGTAATTTCTGCTATGTGATAATCTTCATGTGTATGTGTGTGTGGTTGGATTTTCATGTAATTCTGATACTTGGTGGTAACTTTTGCAATAGTTACATAGGGTTGTAGACACCCCTATGGGATACCACTTTGGGACAAGTAATTTTCCGCTTCTTCAATAGTCATTTTTTGTAGAATTGTGGTCATTACTTTTTCTGAACAAAACATGGAGAATTCTATTGATGCTATTATTGTTGACACAAGTCATAAGGTGAAAGAATTAGGCCATCCTACAGGAGTATTATTTAACAGATGAAAGGAAGATGTTGATTTATTTTGTGTTTAGCTTTTTTAAGACAGATTTTCCTAATTTGAAGAATGATTTATAGTAGTTTAGTAGATCTGTGTAGTTCTTTGACATATGTATGTATCTAGGTAGTTTGTTTATTATTCTGATTGCTTTGGTTTGAATTCTCTGTAATATGATGTAGTTTCAGTCTAATGTGTTAAGTAAAGTTATCCAAAATCTATGGTTGGATGTACAAGTATTTGGTATATAAATAGTTTAATTTTGCTTTTTAATGTATTTTGAGGATATTGAGGTTTTAACTATGCTATTGCTGATATGTTAATCTAGAGTCATATGTAATGCCAGAAATTTTGCTTTTATTGTGTTGTTGTAAATTTTAAGTAGAGCCTGTTTTGTTTCCTTTCATGTGCCTAGTACTATGTTGAAAACTATTAATTGTGTTTTCTGGGGTTTAAGTACTCTCCATTTGGAGCACCAAGTCTGTATCTGATTAGACATACAATCCAAGTTAGTTCTGCATGAATTGTACACTTATCTGCTTGAGTTTCTAGAGTAAATATTAAATCCCCAGTGGCTTGCTAGGCCTAGCCTGGGTTCTCAGGACTGCTAATTGATACCATCTCTATGTCTCTTGCTCCCATGTAGTTATAAGTCAACTATCCATAGACCCAAGCTGACCCAAGGTTACACAGTCAGTTATACACTTAATTAATGAAGTTTAATTCAAACTAGTAATTGTATGTGGATTTATGTATCTACATTCTTCCTAGATTTATGTTAATATATTTAAATGAAAAACCCAATACTTTTTTCCACATTCATGGGAATATATGATTATTTGTGAAATGATTTGCTGCTGATAAAAGATGTCATAATACATTTTTTTGGACTCGGTTTAAAAAATTGATGGCCGTTAATAATGAAAAAAAAATGTAGCTACAGTGTACTTTACTCTTGAAATCAAGAATAATTACTGTTGTACAATCTAATTGAATTCAAATGAAAAATTGATTTTGACTAACATGAGATTTTGACTAAGTTAGTATTAACAGCTAGCTAAGTGAACTGGGGTTATGGGTCAGCTTTCATATATTTATTTTATATCATACATTTAAATCATGTCCCAGTTTCACTTGGAAATTGATTGATGAAAACAAGAGCATTAACCTCATCAACATTTATATTTTGTTATAGATTTCAGTGTAAAATCAGTATTAGCTTTTAAGACTTCCCCATACAAAATAAGACCAAAAAGTCATCAAGATAACAGTTTTAAGATTATTCTATATTCACTTTTTAATTTTCAAATTATCTGTTAAGCTAATCATTTTTTTGCTAGCTAAATATTTAAATGCCAGACTGTGTGTATTAAAGTATTTCTGGCATCAGTGTTCTTATTGTTTCAATTAACAAGAAATGTACCTCTTGAACACCCTTGGTTGAATTCTGATACTCAGGTTGGACTAAAACCATTGATAATACCCTAATTGTTCACCTACTGTTCATACTCGCAATGTCCAAGGTTAGGTAGATTGAATGTCTTTTCTGATTCTTTATATACACACACACACACACACACACACACACACACACATTATATACCATAAGTATCAGTGCATTCAAATCATTGAAAGGAAGAACAGAATATTTAATTATCTATCTTCATTACTGGTTTAATTTTTATGTAGTTTGTACTTTGATTAAAAGTTAATGCTAATAACCTTACTCAACTGTGTAAAATTACCACTTTTCTATAGCAGAAATCTCATACTTACAAAAAGACTCAGTAATTAAACAGCCAATATAGTGAGAAATGTTTTGAGTCACTGATATGGGGAGGGAAGGTAACCAACATTAGTAATGGTACAAGGAAAAAAATGACTATTACATCAAGAACTTATTCTACAGTGTTCTATCAGTCCAATCCTTAGTAGAATATTACACTAGTTTCTAGATTGTTGTGTTTATATCATTTATATAAAATCATGCACAGGTAAACTATGAACAATAACTTGATTTTAGGTGTAATTTTTCCAGAAAGAACGGTTGCAAAAAAGAGGAACTGAGACTGATGAAAGTATCAATGAAAGAATTTGCAGAGCAAAGAAAGAGCTAGAGTATGGTATGTTTTTTTTTTCATTGGTTATAAGGACATTTTTATTGATTTTAAGAGCTTTATCTGTTTTTGCTTTAATTTTGTTTATTGGTAATGGAGTGTGATGAATGTTTTTGTTTCCAGTGACAGAAAGTGGTAAGTAAGTGTATCATTATCATTGACTGTAGAACATGATAAATGTTTTTGATTACCAATATATGATATAGAAAATGCTTGATGACATGTATAGTTTTTAGTAAGCTGTAGGAACATGGTATTTTTTCTAATTCTTGATGTGTGAAATGAAACCAATAACATAATTGTTTTATTATGGTTATTCACAGGTGAAATGCCAGGGAACTTTGATATTATTGTGCTGAATGACTGCTTGGAAGATGCTTACAGGGAACTTAAAAACTACCTTTGGAAGGTGCAAATAGCATTCGATTTCTTAAAGATAAATATATTGAAAAAGTCAATTCCCAAGGGCATATAAATGTTTTGTAAGGAATGTGAGGTGTACGACAAGTTTGAAGCACAAATAAGTATTATTCTTAGTTTCTTTACCACCTGGTGTTAGAAATTAACAGTTTCAAGAAGTAATCATGTGATAATTGTGATATTTCCTGGACCAGTGATGCCAAAATTAGAAAATGAATATCAGTTAGTTCTTTCAAGTAGTTTTAGATTATGGTTTCAGCCAGTTTCATTTGTATGAATTTTAACTTTAGCCATAACAAATAAATGCACCTACATTTTGGTTAAAAGATCTGAAAATGCAAGTAAAGAAAAGTAAATTAAAAGTGAGATAGGTTTTTTTGGGGGGGGGGGAGTTACATTTTTTCTTTGATCTTTTTAACTTTACATGCTTTGTTTTCTGTTTTTCATTACTTGTTTTTTTTTATAATATATTTAAAATTACTAGCTACAGATATTGTTTCTAGTAGTCTTATGTTGTAATCTGTTTTTTTATTGTTACAGTGTGGAGTTCTTGGCAGTAATCTTCAGGAGCAGTAGTAGTTGAATAAGATCTTCATATTCTTAAAGCTCCAAGATTACGGGAAAATTGCAGATTTTTTGTGTGAACCAAGATCATAACTTTATATAGACCAGTTTTGCATTTCACATTTTTATTTAATTATCATCTTGTTTTTTGACATCATCTCATTATGATATCTTTTATTTACTGTACTATAAAATGAAGTAATTTTGACAATTTTCGTATATGTAACTTTTAGGATTCACTAGGACTATTTGTGTTTACTTTCCTCTATTCAACTTGCTTACCAGAGGCGATATTTTTTTAAAAAAACTAATGTTATGAATCTATGAACATTTTAGATTTTTTAAACATGTGTTTAATAAAACCAAAAGAGTACAGTCAAATTGTTCTCCACATTCTAATGAGACTTAACTCAATTAAACACCAAGCTATGAAAAACACTTCATTACTAATACACTAGGCCAATCTTGGCTGAAAAGGTCCAACTTACTATACTTCATTAACATATCTTTTTAGATAATTCCTTATCTCTTATACTCAAGATGAGCTAATACTTGAACAGTCTGGGATCTAGAAACTCCTTTTCCTACATCTTTTTACTAGATGGGCCATGTAAACTTTATATGATATTTTACTGGAGTAATTGTTTGTGGATCCTCTTCATGTTACTGCACATTAACTAATTTTCTTGGCTTGCCAACATATTACTTAATACTTTAGTAGTTCATAAATCTGAGTAGTTGTTAAATTTGGTATTTTGATATAGGTAAATTTCCTAGTTAATTTGAAGGTATGAAATAGTATTGCATAATGTTTGCACTTCTGTTATTTTCTGTTTCATGTTTGAGTTAATTCTTTTTCTTAAACATTGAGCTATGTTCCTTCAACACATTTAGAAAAGTTTTTGGCACTGGTTGTTAAACTGCTGGGTAGTTTTTTCAGTACCATTACGTGTATTTCAGGTTGCTTCATTTGGAAGTGGAGATAAAATATTTTCAGAATTGATTAAGCCTCTGCACGTTTCTAACTACTGAAATTCAAATTTTTGTAACTTATTTTCTTCCCCTGTACAAACTTTGACATGAAGCTCCTTCAGAATAGTTATTAACTGTGATAGTTTTTGACACTTCATTCATTATCCATATCTATAAAATTCCATAACTTAGTTTGCAGATTAATCCTCTTTTATTTTCTTGTTTAGGATTTAAAATAGAATTGACAAATGATAAATTAAATGGTAATCTGTTAATATTGTCTTTTTAGTTGTTTTATATTTGAATAAAAACTTGGCCTTTTGTATTGGTTCTTTTAGGCATACATTTTGTTCATTTGTCTACTTTTCATAGCATCATGAAAAGGTGAAATCTGACCAGTTTTATTTTTCTAACAGGGTTGTTGGTCTTTGGGATGGGTTACCTTCAGATATGGTATATGTAATTAATTCAAGAGACTTTGGAGTTAACGGAAGGCTTGATAAATATTTGAATGATAAGGCTGGCTTTGAGTGTTTTATAGTCATTTTAAACTTTAGTTTAGTGGATGGTACAGCCTAGATGGACCAAGAGATTCCTTGTTGTCCTTAAATTCTATATTAAAATAACATTTGTGAAAAAAATACTCGTAGTGCACATCAGTGGCAACCATATAGGCTGTGCTGTGCACAGGGGCTCACAAACTCTAGGTGGCCCACCAAGTCCTAATTCAATTAACTTATAAACGGTCTGCTAATGTGCAGTGGCAAACTAGAGCAGTAAAGTTTTTAGAAAGATTGTGATGTCAGCAACTGACGACTATTGTTCTGATAGTCATCCTATATTTGTATCAGGAAGGGGGCCAAAATTTATCCCACACAAGGGCCCACAACTAAGTATGGCTGCTGCTGGTGGGCATATTGTAGAAATGAGGAGGTAACATTGAAAATATTCAACCCTTTTTCCAAATATCAAATATGGATATGTGTATTGTAAAAAATAAAAACGTCAAACAAAATTATTTACAAAATACACATTTATATGTACATACTCAC